CACACACACATTTAAAAAGGGGAGAGAGCAGGAGACTCTATTGGGACGAGGCCAAAGATAATGTTGAGATATCCAAGAGGCGTAGGTGACAAGCCCTTGCTTCCCCAACGATGCCGGCTGGCACTGGCTAGCCCACTGACACCGCTTTCTAACACCAGGAACTAATTAAAAACCTGAAAGCCCAACTGGTCTCTGCTTGCAACATGTTGTCCTTGCCCCTGTGGGGAGGCCTGAGCCCGAGACTGTGCCTGGCACACTGCAGGCACCTAGCAGATGCTGGCAGAATGAAGGAATAGCAAAATGGCAAACCAGAGGAGTAACACTACTAAGTTATTACTCCACGTAGTGTGCCTACTACGCAGGGAGAACTCAGTTGGTATTAGGCACTGTGCATAGCCCTACAATGATCTCATTTAAGTCTTACTGAAGCATAGTAACCTCCACTTTGTATAAAAACTGCTGTTTGAAATTCTCTGCTATTGTTAGATAGTCCCTTGTCCTATAAACTCTGTCATTATAAACTCTGTTATTTTTAGATAGTCCCTTATTCTGTAAAATAGCTGTTTTAGTTTGAATAATAGAAAAAGATAAAAACTTAACTGTCTGACCTTGCAAGCTAGCCAGCTAACGGAAGGGGCTGATACGCTGATACTGATAATAGTCTCATGCCAGGTGTTTGTTAGATATAATATGTACTCAAGGTTACAAGTTATCTGCAAAAGTAATATACACAAAGACCTGAAAAGATATAAAAAGAGAATGCTTCTTCCTTTGTTTGCTCAGAATTTGAAAGACATTTTTTTTCTGCGTAATAATAATAAAGTGTAGCTCCATTTCTCTAAGCTCCATTTCTCCAGTCTTCTGTAACATTACCATAAGCATCTGTGGTAGAATATCATTATCCTTATTTTATAGATAAAAAAATTGAAGCTCAGAGAGGTTAAGTCATTTGCCTGACATCACACAGCTAGAAGGTTACCGAGCTGTGGTATGAACTGATGTTTGTGACTCAAACAAAGCCCATGTTCTTAGCCCTCCCCCTGTGGTCGCTGGTCTCCAAGCCGGCTGCCACATTCCCCGCTGAGAGGGCGCAGCTGCTCCTCTGCCTCCTAGAATCTGAATGGGCTTTGCTGGCTCCCAGATAGCAGGATGCAGCAGGAATGACACGCTGGCCCTTTAAGATTAGATTGTAGGGAGTCTGGCAGCTTCCGCCTGGGCCTCTGGGAACACTTGCTCTGAGGGCAACCAGCCACAGGTAAGAGGTCTGAACACCTGAGATTGCAACGCTACGAGGATGTCCGGGCTGGCCACAGGGAGGCTGCCCGGGGAGCAACAGCAGCCATCCTGGCCCAGGCTCAACATACCGAGGGGAGGAGTGCCCCTGACATTGGAGCTGCAGGAGACGCCACACGGGGAGGACCTCAGGCTCAGACAGATGTCCCCCGTCGAGCTGCCCCAGCACCTGCAGCCACCCGAGCCACCCCCGCGGAGGCCCCTGGTATTGTCAGGCAGAGCAGAGCAGAACTGCCGTGTTCTGCCCAGATTCCTGGCTCACGGAATTGTAAACATAATAAAACGGGTGTTGTAACCGGCTAGCGTGACTCATTGGCTGAGCATCAACCTATGTATGAATCAGGAGAGCATGGTTCGATTCCTGGCCAGGACACATTCCGAGGGGAGAGGGGTGTGGGGTGGGGGGTGGCTGGCTTGATCCCCAGTAGGGGGCGTGCAAGGGGTAGCTGGTCAATGATCCTCTCTAATCATTGAGGTTTCTATCTCTCTCTCCCTCTCTCTTGCTCTCTGAAATCCATATAAATATCTATTTTTTGAAAGGGTGTTGTTTTCTGCCATCAACTTTTGGGATGGTGTGTAAGCACCCACAGGTCACTGGAGCACCACGCAGTCCTGAAGAAGGCTGGTGGGACCCTCGTCCCGGCAGCGGGAGGAGGCGCCTCGGTCTCAGAGCTGGGTGGGGTGAACTGTGTGCGGCCACAGGAGGCCAGTCCTGAGGCTCAGCTCCAGCCCTGGCTGCAGGGAAGTGGCTGACGCCTCGACCCATCCTGGTCACAGGGCACAGCAAACACTAAGGCAGTGATGGCGAACCTATGACACGCGTGTCAGAGGTGACACGCGAACTCATTTTTTTTGGTTGATTTTTCTTTGGCATTTAAAAATATGAAATAAATATCAAAAATATAAGTCTCTGTTTTACTATGGTTGCAAAGATCAAAAAATTTCTATATGTGACACAGCACCAGAGTTAAGTTAGGGTTTTTCAAAATGCTGACACGCCGAGCTAAAAAGGTTCGCCATCACTGCACTAAGGTGTCCCTTCCCACAGGCCACAAGCCACAGGGCCGGAGCAGGGCCTTTTAGGTGGCACAGTGGCGCTCTCATGTCTAGTTACTACCTCCCTTGGGTATAAATGCAAACTCACTAACCTCCCGTCTCTCAAATGCTGAGACTCGGCTGTCTCCGACCATGGCTCCCTCCGCCCCTCCTCGCTTATTGGAAAATTCCTGCGTTGGCCTTTCCAGTGAGTCTATTTCCAGAGTCACACTTACTCTGGCAATTGGCCTTGAGTATTTTCTACCTTCCATGGACCACCCAGGAAAGAAGGCGGCTCAGGTGTGTGCGTGTTTGGTACGGGGGTGTTTGGTGCAGGTGTGGGGGTGATTACTGGGAAGAGCATGCGCCGAGCCTCAGTTTCCTTATTTTAAAACGGGGATAATGACATACGCAGTGCCTACCTCACTGGGTTGTTCTGAGAATCACTCAGGGCAACAGTTACTTAATGACAATACCAGACAACATTGATTATTTACTGTGCTCTACAGGGGGACTCATTTAATCCCGACAGCCCCGTGCCATGGGCTACTAATGTGCAGCCAAGGTTGAGAACCACTGGCTTAGAACCACACTTAAGCTGAAAGACTTCTGCAAACTGTTAAAAAAAAAAACTATTATTCCTGTTTTGCCTGTGGGATAATTAAGCTTAGAAAGGGTTAAATAACTTGCTCATGAAGCCAGCCTCTGGCTGAGCTGGGGTTGGAGTCCAGGAGTTCTGGCAGGCCCTGCTCTTGGCCACTAAAGACAACTTGAAAACATTAAGCCCAGAAGCTCCGGGAGATCGATGCATCTGGGTTGGGGTAGGGCATGCCAGTTGCCTGGGTCTCACATCAGGACCAGTGGAGAGGCAGCCAACAGGAAAGGGTGTCCTTTGTGACTGGGGATTCTCACCCTGCAGGCCCTATCTGAGGCAACACTGTGTCCAGCAGAGGCTCTGAAAAAGACAACTTGAAAACATTAAGCCCAGAAGCTCCGGAAGATCGATGCATCTGGGTTGGGGTAGGGCATGCGAGTTGCCTGGGTCTCACGTCAGGACCAGTGGAGAGGCAGCCAACAGCAAAGGGTGTCCTTTGTGACTGGACATGAGCCACCAGCACAGGGATTCTCACCCGCAGGCCCTACCTGAGGCAACACTGTGTCCAGCAGAGGCTCTGCGTCATGATTTAATGGGGACAACTGCCCACCGAAGCACTGCCCTTCCCTCCCCCCACCAGGAACTTTAATCGGTGGATGAAGAATTGCTACAGTAGAGGAAGCTGAGGAGCCATCCTACTTTAAGGATAGATCCTGATTACAATCCAGGGTTGCAACCCGAGCTGAGGAGCCATCCTACTTTAAGGATAGATCCTGATTATAATCCAGGGATGCAAACTGGAGACACAGGGCTGCTTGTATTTGTGGGCCCATAAGGCAGGCAGGACTGCAGTTGAACATCCCCATGGATGCAGGCTGAGCTGCCCTCCTGTGTCAGGGCTCAGTCCCAGGAAGTGCTTGCTGAATGATGGAGGGTGGGGGCAGGAGAGGCTTTTATTTATTTATTAAATAAAATTTTTATTGATTTTTTACAGAGAGAAAGGGAGAGGGATAGAGAGCCAGAAACATCGATGAGAGAGAAACATCGATCAGCTGCCTCCTGCACGCTCCCCACTGGGGATGTGCCCGCAACCAAGGTACATGCCCTTGACCAGAATTGAACCTGGGACCCTTCAGTCCACAGGCTGACGCTCTATCCACTGAGCCAAACGGGTTCTGGCAGGAGAGGCTTTTAGAGAGACAGAGAGATTCCGGCCCAGCTTTGTACTCCTGTGCCCTAGTCACGGGCGGTACCTGCTGTAGTAGGCAGTTGGACAGACGTGAGCAGAGCAAGGACAATGGGCCAGGTATAAAGGGTCACCAGGGTGAAAAGCCCCGGGGGGCCTAGCAACGGAAGATCAATTGTAGGGTGGGACCTCGCCCCCAGGGTGACTTTTCCTCCCCTAGCATATGGCTGGGCATGTGGTTTGGACCCCCTGACCTTTCCTCCCTGGAGATAACATGTGGGCCTCA